TCCCAAATGGATATGGATGGGTCTGAATAGGTGCGTTTAAACAAGCAGTGTGGGCTGTCAGTGTGTGTGTGTGTGTGTGTGTGTGGAGCCTCTGTGCTGTAATCTCGGTGCTCACACACACATCCGTGATGAGTCTGTTTGATCTGAGGCATCGTTGCAGCCAGCGTCCTAAACCTTCTTTACATCCAAAACTTTTAAGAGGAAGACATTTCAACACAATCCCGCTGCACTTCAGCTCGCTTTGGGCCTACTTTTCTTCGTGGCGGCGAAATGAGTTTACGCCACTCCAAGTTTAGAGATGAGTCGATCCGCTCCACTTTCAGCCGCTGCTTAAACAGACTTTTTGCTTCATGAGTGAGGATTGTTGCAGTAAATGGTCCTCTTTTAACCTCTGCAGGTACTGCAGTGTTAACTCTCCTGCTGACCTTTGGGTCAACAAGGCAAACTGAGGCGTTGTGGGTCAGTTTGACCCAAAGGAGGGTCCAGATGTTTCTCATTCACCCACACTCACATAATGATAGAACTATTTTATAGTCAAAAAAGGGTAGGTCCTCTGGATGAGTTCTTCTTTAGTGAAATGTTTCATCTCTCCTCCAAGAGACTTCTTCAGTCTGATGAGTTTCAGGTGAACTCGGCCTTATAAGCACTGCCTCCACATGAACAAACAGGTTAGTCACATGCAAAAGAGGGCCATCGCCTATAGCCTTGATTAGCTCTATTGTTCATTGAGGATCATGTGCCCCATCACCTGACCCGTGTCTTGTTATGTGTTTGTAGTGAGTGCAAGCGGGGCTCGACGTCCATGTGGAGGCGGTGCTTATAAGGCTGAGTTCACCTGAAACTCATCAGACTGAAGAAGTCTCTTGGTGAAGAGACGAAACGTTTCACTAAAGAAGAACCCATCCAGAGGACCTACTTATTTTTTTTTCTTTTTGATTTTTTTTCTACCTGGATTACTGAGATGCATCAGGACAACAATTTTATAGCTCACTCACTTAAAACCGCTGGGTTATTTTGGTATTTAAGTGGCAGCTGGGGTGAAAATTAAGTTACTAAAAATTGAGTCAAAACATTTGTAGCACGGTTGGTTAGATGAGTCACGTCATTCTTCACAGTCAGACATTCTAATCCAAAAGTTGACCAAACTGGACTTGACTGGAGCTCTGCTTTATGTAAAAGTGTAAGAAACTACTTGTAAGCAGATTGGTTTTGTTACATTTAGTTTACACTAAACAGTGATTTGGGTTTCTTAATAAAGCATTAGTTGGTGTTAGCTGATGTTAATAGTGCGAGCTGCACAAGTTGTAATAATTTTTTAAGGTTGTTTTAGGTCAACATATTGGCAGCATGCAGCAAAGTCACAATCTTTGGTTAGACTTAACCCAGTCTGTTGGGTCAAACTGGGTTGGGTCCACATTTCACACAGAACTGGGTTACAGAGTGGCTTATTTATTTTTACTCAGTGGTTTAAAGAGCACCAACAAGCATATTAAGGCCAATGGGGAGGGTAGGTGTCTTGTTTGAGGTTCCACTAGCTCACTTCAGGGTCTTGGGGTTAAACTCCCAATCCTCCGATCAGAAGCCAAACATTTCACCAATTCAAATGACAGGAATGCCACAATTCATAAAACTACCAAACATTACAGGTATAATCTTTTAGTTAGGATACTCACCTGTATATGTGGCCTTGACCCTATTGGACCTTTGCTAAGCCAAGCCTCAACGTCCTGGAGGGTAAATTGTCAATAAAAAGACATTTTGCGCCCTCTAGAGGCTATTTTTTGTCAGTTCTGTCAAGAGTTTTCTGAATCAGGACGAATCTGACAGCATAAGTTCATGAATTTTATTCAAAACAAGCTTAACTGAAGTAGAACAACCCCACCTCCCCCTCAACCTTTTGATAGAACTTTAAATAATATTGTGCTCTATTTTATGATGCTTTCACATTGAAAGAAAACCTCTGATTTTACAGTGAACGTTTACAATACATGTAAAAGTGAGCTGCTATATGAAGACGTCTGCTGCCATCAACTGGTAAAGCCTGCAGCCAACACTAAATCACCAGCAGCTTCTCTTCATGCAAGAATCATCATTTTAAGCTGTTGGRTTGCAGGAGAATGCCCACATGAAACTACGCTGAGGTCAATTTCAGTCCACTATTACTGTATAAACCTAAATCTAAGAACATCTAAAATCCTTTTTTTTTTCAGAAATTATGATTATGTTTTAATGTTTAATGTCATATTGTAATATTAGAATTATATGGTTCTTTCACACTTTTTATTAAACTTGAGTTATGCACATTTAACTAATTTCTCTATTTAAATATGAATCCAATCATTTAAAGGACAGGATATATGTCTCTGGCTGACAGGTCAATGACAAGTTTTTTTTGAGAGTCTCCTATATTGCAATTCAAGGATCAGTCAATTACATCTATAACGAGCCTCATTAGGCAGAAATTAAATTTCTACCCAGCTAAAACATAAAGCGAGATGGATGTGTTTCACACTCAGCACAAAAACAAAATCCTCCATTGTTTAACTCACTTGTGTCAAGGTAATGAAACAAAYCAGATTTTCATCCCTATGAGAGATTTTAACAAATATTCCACGTTTAAAACTAATATCTTTAAAGTACCACACGTGTACAGCTGGATGATTTAATAAGACATTCTTAGGTATTGAATTGTAAAACAGAAGAGGCAAATATGACACCCAAGTTAGTAGTTTGTTTAAGAGGGAGGTTTTCTTTTCACTCAAGTGTTTTCTCTCTTCAGCTTTTGTTGATGTAAGAACAACATAAAACCCAAAATCCACACTAAAYTGAATTAAGAAAATATTACTCTGGAGGTGCCTGAGATGTCTCATTAGTAGTGTTGATATTTATTACTTTATATACTAATTTGATTGCCAACAATTAATTTATATGTCTGCAAAATTACTTGTTTGACAAAAAAAGTGGGGGGGTGTTTATGCTGGACTGAGCAGTTTGATGCATTGGTTTGAAGCAGCAGTGTTGTACAAGATGTCAGGTGACTTTAGGATMTCACAACAGAGGGGCAGCTGAAGTCAAAACTAGTCAGATGCTGCTACAGCTGCTGTACCGGATCAGCTTCACCTCTGTGGTGACTCAGCTTTGCTCTGATTGGCTGAGGGCTTCTCTGACACGCATGATGTGTGGTAAGGCTTTTATTATCCAAACTGGATGCTTTTAATGAACACCATAGTTTCATAAAACAGTTATTATATATTATATATATTATACTGATATTTAACTCTATGATGAACACCCAGATTCTAWAGGGAAAAGTAAAGTAATTCAAAAATATATGAAAACTCTCTCTGCTTCTGGTTTAAAGTACAGTCTAAAGTTTTCTTTGTTTTTTTTTAAATATGTAAAATATACAGATTTCATTTTTAGATTATGAAGTTTCCAGTTTTAAGCTACTTTACAAAAAGTCATTCCATGGCCTCAGTTTTAGGCCTCAAAAGGAACACTTTCTTCAGTTGTACTGAAACAACAGGCAGACTGAGACAAATCAATACAAGCAAGTCTCTGAGGACGATTCACAGACAAAAGGTGAAGTTATAAAAGTTACTATTCCATTAGAAAGATACAGTAAGAATTTAGTTTCTGGTAATATTTGAAATTAGTTACTGAATTTCTTGTACATTACCATCAACGGACTGCACTTCTTTATTGTGACCACAATAGGGCAGCTCAGATACACTGTTTGACCAAATGGTAAATACAAAATTCAATATTTACTCATATATTTCAAGAGTTTCATATGTTTTTGGATAGGCCACACTCGTGCCTCATGGAAAAAATGCATACATATATGTAAAAACATAAATTTACCTAAAAACAATTGGAAAATATCAGTAGCAAAACAGTAATTTATCCTTATAAAAGTATATTTTACAGTAATTCTGTTTGTTTATTGAGATTACTCTATGAGTGTAATTTGGTTAAAAGTAATAAGTCATCGTGGTGTAAAGATCTTTCTAGAGCCTGCCTGWTATTTCCACAAAACCACACCAGTCATGATGAATCGTCGTGAAGTAGGACGTCAGTGACGTCATGACGTAGGAGGAGCGTGCGTCACATATCTAAACAGACGTGAGCTCTGCGGCTAACAGAGGAGACATCGGTGTGGAGGGTTTTGTACGTTCTGTACGGATTGAAACAAACTACAAAGTGACTTTACGCAGATCATTTGGAACGAKGTCGTTTATTTTTTATATTTTCATAAACGAAAATCTAAGAAGACAGGGGGAGCAGGTGAGTTAAACCGATTTAAATCGAGAGTTAGCTGATTCATCATGTTAGCATAGCAAAGCTACCTGTCAGAAAATACACCAAAAAAAATAAATAAATAAATAAAAGGTGTTTGTTATTTCATGTGTTTGTTCTGGAGACGTAAAAAAAACATAGTTTAAAGTTCACGTTTTTTTCTGTAAGTCAAGTTAAATTTGTTTCAAAGCTTCGTTGTTTTGTTTTTTTAAGCAGGTAGTTGTTAAACTTGACTTAAAATATTTTATCGGAGTTCCTTATATAAGGATAATAATACCCCCTCACCCCCCCCCCCCACCCCCCGGTAATACGATCATTATCCTGAGTTGTTATTGATTACACAATCAGCTGCCGGTAAGCTAGCTTAGCCATATTGCTAACAATTTAGCAAACTCATGTAGGTGTAGGAGTCACGTGACTCTACATAACTAGTTGTTTTGTTAATGGGGACCATCCCTGACAGTTCATTAAAAACTTCCCTTATAAGTCAGCTAATTTTCAAATCTTTATTTTATTTTATTTTATTTTTTCAGATTATAGTAAATAAATAAACATCTTGTCAACTGAAGATAATTTGTAGAAATGGAGTTTCCAGARTTGGGAGAACACTGTTCTGAGAAAACCTGCAAACAACTAGGTGAGTACAGTCTGCAATAGACTTAACTTATGCAGTATTTATTTACCCTGCTAAGTCTGATCTAAATCATAAAATAAAAAAAATGTTTTCAGATTTTCTTCCAATGAGATGTGACGCCTGTGAAGAAATTTTCTGTAAGGATCACATAACCTATGCAAACCACAAATGCACATCATCTTACAAAAAGGTAAGTGATTACAAATGAATGTGTAAAGTAAAATATAACGGTCACATTTGRGCTTAAATTAAACCTAGAGATCACAGAATAAACGTGTGTGCATACACAGGATTCTTAGTAAATGCAAAAATCTTACCATTTGTCACAGGAGTAATTTTTGATTTCTGACAAAGTTGAGATGGCGAAGAGATATATTAAGCAAACAGTTGAACATGGAGCTGCTAGCAAGAAGGAAAAGAGGCAGTTTGCAGAGAAGGTATATGGATTAGTGAAGGAGAATGATGAAACACTAAAGGGAGGCTATTGATTGGTTGAGATGGAGGCAAATGATATGCTGTGGCAACCTTAAAGGGAGCAGCGTAAAGAAAAAGTTCTTGATGTTTTTGAATGAATTTACTCAGTATTTARTGCTGTAAAAATATGTAATTTATTGTTTATTTTTTGCAGGATATCCAGGTCCCAGTGTGCCCATTATGTAACACCCCAATTCCCATCAAGAGAGGAGAGATGCCTGACATTAAAGTTGGTGAGCACATTGATCGTGACTGCAAATCAGACCCTGCACAAAGAAAACGAAAGGTCAGGATAAAACTCTTATTCCTTTTCCGTTATTGTGATTCAAACTAATCAAAGAAATGTGTGTTTTTCTTTCTAGATCTTCACAAATAAATGTTCTAAAGGTGGCTGTAAACAGAAAGAAATGATCCGAGTMACCTGTGATCAGTGTCATTTAAACTACTGTCTTAAACATCGACACCCTTTAGACCACGATTGTAAGACCGATGGGAAACCTCTGTCCAAATCTGGGTGGGTAAAGACTCTGCTGTTCCTATATCTGAAGTACCACGACTCAGGCTCATATTAGGTTGAATATTTATCGTAGACATGCTGCTGTAATGAGGTCCCAAGGTGGTGCTACTTCTTCTGCCTCTGGCTCTCGCTCATCTGGTTCAGGAAACCACAGACCTGTTTCAAATGGTGTGAGTTCAAACAGGGCTCACAGCACTGGGTGAGACATATCTTGTATTTATTTATTTATTTTTTATAAATAGTCTGCTTTCCAAATTCTTAACAGCCTCATTGATATATTTTTTCTGTTGTTTGCAGCTCTCTTCAGCAGATTCCTGCTTCTGTTTCAGCACAAAATGTAATCCCACCCTCAGCATRGTTTCAGGCCGGCATGGTGATTCACTACACAACAACTTTAAAACAAATTTCCCATGTAAGKAAAAAAAAAAGTCAACACAAACATGTTTTGGTTGCAGACAGAGGAACAGGCTTTACAACGAGCACTGGAGATGTCTTTGGCCGATTCGAGGCCGACCGTGCAGCCGACTCTAAGGTGAGTCAGCTGTTTTGTCATCTCGGGCTTCCTGTCATTTCAGACCACGTCCATCAGTGCTTTGTGTTCAAACAATGCTTGTTGAATGAATCATTAACKAAACGTGCATTTAACATTAATTAGATGTGCTTTTATGATTAAAACATACCAGTGTTGTTTTCGTTAACGATGACAAAATATTTTCGTTGACGCCCCCTTTTTTTCATGACGATAACAAGACGGTAACAAAATAAACACAGCTCTTTGATGACTGAGACGTGACGAATCGTGTGTGAGTTTTCGTAGACGAGACTGGACAAAAATGTTAGTCGATGGTCTGTCAATCATTTAGGATGCAGAGTGGAGGGAGGGACAGCAGCACTGTTACACACACGTGTACACACAGCAGCACAGAACATTTCCTCCTCTCATTCAGTAAAGAAGGAAGACAAACAGCCTGCGCCGCTTCGCAAAAAATAAAAAATAAAAAAGTCCATCACCTGTAGCTTAACCAGGGAATAACATCTCCACCATTAAAAGCTGTCGCAGATTCATCAGAAGCTGTTTGTTTACGTTCATGATGAAAGTAAAACTCTTCTCTGTCTTTTGTTTTTATTTATTTATTTATTTTTTTACCGGGGAGAGTTAGCAACGTGCATGTCAGTGCTTCTGTTCTAAACAAAAGCCTGGTGCATGTAAACACTCGTTTGCACAAGTTTAATAGTCTACTAAGTTTAGGACTGCATGATGTCCATTTTTATAAATAAGATGCATCTTCATCYTCCTGGCTGACAAGTTTGAGTTGAACATGTGTGTTCCCCTTTATTGCTTATAATAATGGGCATGTGTGTTTTGTATGTTCATTGCACTTTAGCAAATTCTTAGAAATAAAGCCACAAAGTGAGAATGTTTTTGTTTTGGGCATTTTTTAGAGTAACACAAATTCACAAATGTTAACACAAATTACTCAAATTAATTTGTAAAGACTATTATGTTGTCTTTTTTTAAAGACTAAAACTAAACAATTTTTTAAGCTTTCGTCGACTAAAACTCGACTAAAACCATTAAATATAGAAATGACTAAAACTAAGAAGTATTTTTGTTCAAAAGATTGACTAAAATTAAAATGGCAGTCAAAAACAACACTGAAGCAAACACTCTTGCACTCTTAATCAGTCTTTTTTTTATGAAATGTCAGCAAAATTTAAACAGATTTATGTAGGTTATTCAGTTTCTAAACGGGTGTGGCACAAACAACACAAATCCACAAAGTTCAGTCTATGTGGTGAAGGAAATATTAAATTGTACAACAGAAGTCAGGGCTATGAGAGGAAACCAAAAGTTCAGCTTGTAATCTCATTTTACCAATCTCCTTCATGGGGCTTAAATATTTAATAACACTCATGCATAATGGAAATCTTATTGTACTTGTGAAAATGTTTTAGTTGGCAGATTGCCTTCAAGGAAGACGCTGAGTTTCAGTCTTCCATTACAGAGTAAAACTGGAAGCAATTTTAAATGTTATTTCTTGACCATTAGAATAAACTAAGAATTACATTTTGTGATGACGGGAAAAAGCTTCAAAAGTTATTTTATAAGATGCTCGAGCTCTTAAAAATGCTGTGTTGACATTTTCTGCACAAGTTTGCATCTGAAGTAATTAACTGAGGTGGGACACGTCTAAAATCTAGTGTCATAAAGTTAGCCCTTTTTTTAACAGCTCAGTAAGAGTCACCATGGAAACTAAAGATGAGCATTTACTTTGCTTGTAGAGGAGGRTTAATATGAAGATGCTTGATTTTCACTGTTTTTGTTTAATTTTCTAAGTGTTACAAAGACTATGATGTAAAATAGTTTCATTCTCAAAGCTGTCGAGGCGAACATCCACAATACGGCAGAGCACAGTTGTGTCGTTAATGTTTTATGCTTGAACTGCATCTAAAATAAAATTACTTATTAAAATACTTATTTTTATTAAGCGATTTTAATTTTGTCCAAAACCATTTTTTTTAATAACTGACAGAGTTGGTTACTATCCTTATCCAAGGATCGGCCAGTCTCCCTAAATCATGGAAATCAGTGCCGATAAATCGATTAACAAACCACAGTCAGCTGAAGTTACTCTCTTTCTGCAACACAGAAATCATTTATTGACTTGTTTCTTTTACGCCACTAGTTATGGAGAAGGCTGCTCCAACAATAACATTAGCTTGCTAACGTGCACAGTGGTGCTGCGAGGAAAAGTGTCCCCTGTGAAACGGTCATTGGTGGGTGCGATGTAACGTTCTGAACGTGTTCAGGCTATTTAAACCGGTATGTCTGAAAATCAAAAAAATATAACAAAAATAAAACCCGGTTTTCGGTACAAACCTGTATCCAGCCCAGAACTAGTCTGTAGGCGTTTCCTTGTTTTCAGCAAGGAGCTCGCTTGTCTAGGAAAATCAAAAATAAAAAAAAAAATCTCTGAAAGTTTAAATCTGAAAGGAATCCAGCTGTTTGTTGGACTTAAGAAACCCGTGGCTGCGTGGTCCTGATGCTCACCTTTTCAGGAATCTGCGAGCAACATTTCTGTCATTACCTGAGTTAATTTATTTATTTTTACCTCGCTCAGAGTTAAAAAGCACGACAGACTTCTGACTCTGCCCTTCCAGCTTTGTGGATATTTGGTGCATCACCGCACAATCATTTTTTAAGTGCCGTCACTATGGCTGCACGATATTAGGAAAACCTACGATGTGCGATAACAGTGCTTAATATTGCAAGAACAATAGGACTTGTGATAAATACATAACATAAGTATGTAGTGTTAATGTCTTTCTCTTCTGGGTTCAGAGCAAAAAAAATAATCCATTTTATTTCCAGCATGATTTTTTTTTTTAATATGAAGAGATCCAGCCAACTGGTCAAACACGTGAAAGGCTCCATTTGATTGGTGAAATACTTCAAGACTGATTCTGTCTAAGTGAGAAAACTTGTGAATGCAAACTTTTGGGCCAGCCATTTATTGCAGTTTATGCAGTTTTTTGCACAGGCAGTTATCCCAATGACGATAAATTCTCGATATATTGTTTAGCCCTAACTGCCYCCATATTTTAATACTGCAGCGGACCAAAATACAGCCTAATGAACACAGGTGAATAATAGCTCTAACAGGGTAGCAGCTAAAATAAACACAGTTGTTTAGTTCACTCAGTCCTTCAGGTGTTTTCATTCAGCTTGTTTTCATCTCAGCCCTCAGGAACAGGAAGATCTGGCTCTGGCTCAGGCTCTCGCTGCCAGCGAAGAAGAATTCAGACGCCAGCAGCAGAGACAACAGGTACCCGGAAAGCTTATGCATCACTAGCATGCTAACAGGAGCACATGTAGGTACATACTTGTCATGACAACCCCATATTTTTTTATGGGGGGCAAAGATGAAAGACTAATTTATTTTAAGTAGTTTTTTTTTTTAGTGGTTGAAGATGCGTTAATGAAAGTACGCTTTAATTCTGATTCAGTTTTCTCTCTTTGTTCAGGGGAGGGAGTCCAAACAGTCTACCTGCCGCCTTTCTTAATCTCTAAGCACCACTTATGTTTCAAGCTGTGCTAATTATGTCCAAGGAGATGCACATCTGAAACGTCCCCATCGAAGATGGAGGGATTTTTTTACATGAAGAACTACCACATAGCCGAGATAATGCCGCCTTCTACGCATAAAAGCACATCCACTTTTCAGCAGGATCTGTCATTTTTACTGATTAGTTGCTCTTGTAAATATTTTCTAAAATCAATCACAATGAATCTATTATATTGCCACATATGAATATTGAATAAATTAAAGCTGCTCTTACATTTTGACTTTGTCGCTTCATTGACATTCTGCTTCAACTTAAAGTGATGAAGCTTTGTATCAAGGCAGATATGGGAGTCCATCAGGAAAGTGAGGTGGAATAAATTTATTCAACATTTTTAGCAGAGGTTTGATAAATTGATGCAAGGTTTTTTTTTCCTGCTCTGTGTTCATGTGTGTGATAAAGCCACAGCTAKGAATTGGAATATTTCTTAATTTAACCAACAATAACTGACTCTTACTAATTGAATTTATAGTTTTAGCCTTTAGAGCAGGGCTCAGGGGAGCCACAGTTACCAAAGACCAACAGCTCAGGGGGCAGACAAACAGCCTTTATTGTTATTATATAAATTTTAATTATGATTTAAAATCTAATTTTACTTTAAATGTTGACATCTAGCTTTGAATGAACTAATCAACGGTTTAGACTGAGCTGACCCCCATACGCTGTATCAGGCCTGTCAGTTGAGCAGCTCTGCTATAGGCCTTCAACAGGAACATATGACAGTAATTTGGGTCAAACTGAAAAAATGTCATGAATACAGATCATTAACAGAGAGAACTTATATTTTTTTGCATATAATTTCAGTCATGCAGTAAGTTCTTCTAGTAAAACTGCTATTGTAACTATGAACAGCAGGGGGCAGTAATGCAATACCACACTAATCCTTAATTTCCTCTCAGCATGCTCAGTTTGTTTAACAAAAAAAAAAAAATCTATTTACCAGAACTGAACTGAGCTGAAGTCTGACATGTTTTCTCTTTCCAGAGATCCCCCTGTCATTGAACTCGTCGAGCCTTTTGTGTCATTATTTCTGCCTTTTGTTGAAATTAACTAAACAAACCATAAGAGCGGCCTTGGAAAATAAATTATCTAACAAATTAAATGCCATATTTCCACCGGATCACATTTAATTACAGCACACAAAACTGCACTCGAGGTTTGATCAATTGTCGCATCTTTCTGCATGAATTTCCATATTCATGAGCAAAAAAGTGATTTCTTTGGACTAAAGTAAGCTTCCACTGGGCTGCAAGGCGATGACTTATTGTTGGAATACATAATCTGCACTTTTATCTTGTAAGAAACAGAAGATTGCAGGCAACTATGGACCATTTAAGAACATTTTTTCCACCACTTTTGCAATATTTTTCTAGTCGTCACAGGTGGAAGAGCAACTACAGACAAATTCAGCAATTCATCTCTGCTTATTTCTCCTTCCTGATGACTTTGGATACATCCACTGATGTCAGTATTAAAAGACAAAGAGCAGAAATTAAAGGTAAAAATGACCAGAAATAGGACGGTTATGTAACACTTGAAAAGAATCGCATTTTCCTGGAAGGACATGGCAGTCTTTTGTAAGGTTTGTGAAAACTGGTTTCGTCCGTCCGCTTTCTGTCGCTTATCCGAGATCGGGTCACAGGGGCAGCAGCCCAAGCAGAGAGACCCAGACTTCCCGCTCCCCAGCCACTTGGACCAGCTCATCCGGMGGAATCCCAAGGCATTCCCAGTCCAGCCGAGAACATAGTCCCTCCAGCGTGTCCTAGGTCTTCCTCTGGGGCTCCTCCCAGTGGGACGTGTCCGAAATGCCTCACTAGGGAGGCATCCAGGAGGCGTCCTAACCAGATGCCCGAGCCACCTCAACTGGCTCCTCTCGACGTGGAGGAGCAGCGGCTCTACTCTGAGTCCCTCCCAGATGACTGAGCTTCTCACCCTATCTCTAAGGGAGAGCCCAGACACCCTGTGAAGAAAACTCATTTCAGCTGCTTGTATCCGTGATTTTGTTCTTTCGGTCACTACCCAAAGCTCGTGACCATAGCTGAGGGTAGGGACATAGACCGACTGGTAAACCGAGAGCTTCGCCTTCTGGCTCAGCTCCCGCTTCACACCTTCCAAGGAGTCCAAAAAGGGTGGGTAATCTGAGCTTCTTTTAGGCGCATAGGCACAAACAACAGTCAGGGCCCGTCCCTCCACACATAGGCGGAGGGAGGCTACCCTCTCGTTCACTGGGGTGGACCCCAACGTACAGGCGCCGAGATGGGGGCCAATAAGTATGCCCACTCCTGCTTGGTGCCTCTCAGCATGGGCAACTCCAGAGTGGAAGAGAGTCCAACACCTCTCGAGGAGACTGGTTCCAGAGCCAGAGCGGTGCATCAAGGTGAGTCCAACTATATSTAGTCYGAACCTCTCAACCTCACACACCAGCTCAGGCTCCTTTCCCACCAGAGAGGTGACATTCCACGTCACAAGAGCCAGCTTCTGTAGTCGAGGATCGGACCGCCAAGGTCCTCGACCACTGCCCAAAACACATTGCACCCGACCCCTTTGGCCCCTCCTACAGGTGGAGAACCCATGGGAAGGCGGACCCATGTCTCCTCTTTGGGCTGTGCCCGACCAGGCTCCCTGGGTGAAAGCCCGGCCACCAGGCGCTCGCCAATGTGCCCCACCTCCAGGCCTGGCTCTAGAGTGGGGTCCCGGTGACCCATGTCTGGACGAGGGAACACTGACTCCATTTATGGTACTTATMATAGGGGTCTGGGCTAGGCTTTGTCTCTCCCTCACCTAGGACCTGTTTGCCTTGTGTGACCCTACTGGGGGCATGAAGCCCCCGACAACATAGCTCCTAGGATCATTGGGACACTCAAACCTCTCCACCACGATAAGGTGACAGCCCAAGGAGAGGTAAGAAGAGAAAAACTGGTTTCACAGCTATTCTTTGTAGGAAATTTGTAGTTTGAAAAAAATGCAGTAAACTAAACCTACAATGATTATAATGTAATCATATTTCTAAAAATATAGCTAAACACTCACTGATGTCAGTACATAATCCAGAGTATGATCAATGCACTCTATATTTTTTTCATGCTTTGATTTGAGACAATGTTAAGAAATCCTGCAGGATTATAAAAACAAGAGAGGGAAAAAAAGCACAAATGATCTTTGTGGTAGTTTTAAAGGTCACTCTGTGTGGAAGTAACATTTACACCATTGACAAGTTTAAGAGAAATCCTTTTTGCCACTCTGCCTCTGATCTTGTCTTTGCAGATGGCTCTTAGGCGTGCAAAGCTGATGCACCTGGTGCTTGTGACAAAATAGCTTCCACTCAGGAACATGAGTTCTCCACTGTCTCCTTCAAATTTGTTGCCATTTAATGCAAGGCTTCCCGCACGAACACTGCTGAAAAATTGGCAATCTGCTTAAGACTTCTGCAGAAAACAARGTAATTATTCATTCTCATTGAATTGTAGTATTTGCTTTTGTGTATAACATTGAGTCTTTGTCTCAATGTGATTACTGGGCAGAAGTACCAGCATGCAGCTGTGTGTGTGTACCTGCCTCCCAAAGTGCTGCTTTAAGTAAATCTGCCCATGTGGTGAGAGACAGCATGGCCGGTGTCAACACCCCCACAAATGCATCACTTTCACACAGTGTTGTAAAACATATACTCTGAAGACGGCTTTGGGGGGCTGTATCAGGGGAGGTTTTAATTTTTTTTTTCAGAGAGAACATGGCCAATTTACTCTGAAAGGAAACCTTGATTCAGCGAACATGTCAGATTTGTAGAGTGAGGATCAGATGGCAAGCTGAGAGCGGCAAAAACCATTTTGATCCCTCTCATCCACGCRGAAAATGGTTCTGTGACTGAGCTTTATAGGTTCATATGTTTTAACYTTTTGAGTCCTGGGCAGAGAGGTGATTTCATCATTTGAGGCATTGCGCTCCAGGCTATCTGTCAAAGCATCAAGTCTGACTCTGAAACCTGAGAATCACGACGTGTAATAATACAATTCTTTCAGCTGTTGAGTTAGATTCTTGGTGCTAATATCTGCCACACAGACAAGGTTTAGTGGTGCCAAGGATGCTGTCAGCCTCTGCCCTTGTYTTGCTGTTGGATCAGGTCCGTGAAGCTGTGGGTGACAGAGTGCAGGAAGCTTTCAGTCTGACCCGACTTTCTCAGCTGCTGTTAATTTCCCCGTGTCAGATGAAAATGTCTCTCCTCTGTCCTTTTGTCAGGGACTGGCATTCTGCCCTGACCCATTATCTTTAGCTGACCATCTGGCAACGATGATCCCTCTGACTTTTAGTTCCTGTTGCTTTCGTTTAGCTTCATGTTTTAAAATATGCAAATGAGCATTTAGGGAAGTGACTAACTTTTATGACTACAAATGCGATATGGGAGGTTGGGAATATGAGTAAAACGAAATCTAAGAAGAGTACACGTGCATCTTTGTTAGTTTGACACAAAATGGATACATTGTTGTAGTTTTCTGGTCGATCACCAATCTTTAAAAATTCTGACCTGCTGATTCTGATTTCGTCTGAAACCGATTGTTTACCGTGCCAAACCAACTTTATTTATAAAGCACTTAAACAACCATAGGACCAAAGTGCTGTACAGTCAGTCAATAAAACATACAACAGTCAC